TAAAAAAACAAACAAAAGAAAGTGATCACTGCTTACGGCCGTTTTCAATAACCTATCTATCCCTAGTTTCGGTTACTAAAGATAGACAAATCTATATTTTTGTCCTTACTTACGTTCCAATAACCTATCGACGGGCAGCAGTTCCTATCGGATTTATCTATCCATCGTCGGGAGGACGAATAGCCTGCTAAAGATAGAACGCTCATACAAATCGTACTTACTTCCGTTTCAATATGAGTTTTAAGTAACTCTCCGGTAGGCGGCGCTATCTCTAGTATGGGCATTCGCTTATCTGTCAAAATCGGCCGGTTACATGTTTATCTTTCGAAAGTAAATCGCTATAATTTAATAATTGTTTCTCTTCATATTGGCATATTGTAGCAGTGATGATAGTGATATGGAATTATTTCAAATGATAATNTGTTGTTTCGTATTTGTAGTAGAACGAAACGTATCAAGAGGCTCGGATAAATCGGAGGGAAGAAGCTATCTACTGTTGGTTAAAGAGAGATAGCACTTATCCGTGATTGTGAAACGCAAACTAAGGATAGATACGCTCTTGCTGATATTCGGAGATAGCTATCTATCCGAAAACTCAGATACGTTATTGAAAACGGCCGTTAATGGCAAACGGACTGTCAAAACGTTTCGTTTCATAATTTCGACTAGGATAAAAATATCAATACGTCCAATATAAAAAAATCTGCATATGTTTTTATTACTTTTTGTTATAAACAAATGTGTTTATGATAGTCTACGATATGCTGGTTAAATTATAGTTTTATTTTAGAATAAAATAAAATAAGTTTTGATCCTGATGTTGTTTCGTATTTGTGGTAGAACGAAACGTATCAAGAGGCTCGGATAGATCGGAGGTGACTGAAGTTAGCCCCTCAAAAAAATTTTTCTTTCCTGTTTTCTACTTATTTTCTATTAATTCGTTTGTTCATCATTTGTTCTTGATTGTTCACTGTTAATAATTGTTTGTTCTGCATTTATTTATTTTAAAAAAATTATTAAAAATATATGTACAAGTTAGCCCCCCGATTGCAATTTTTAATATTTTTTCGTCCTTAATGACTCGTAAATATTCATTTTCGATTGTTCTTATATAAAATACGTTTGTTCTCTTTCGAAATTACTCATTTTTTGTTTAATTAACTATTTGTATTAGTTGAATAAAGGTATGCAAAATATGTGTACTGCGCATGCATCAACTATAATGCCTCAACTTTCTACGCGGTTTTAATCGTAAAAAAAAAACAATTAAAAATCCTGAAGGACCAATTAATTGGTATACAGTTTAATTAAAAAAATTAAAAAATGAATAAATGAAATGTGCATTCGCGTAAAGTTAGACCAAATACATTTTTTCCATCCTCTTACCTATCGTATTAAAATGTTATTTTACTAATGTTAGGAATATAATTTCGACTGTGTAAAAAAGTTATTGTAATGTATACCTACATTATCTCTTGAAAGATAAATAATGAACATATTTACTTATTTGTTTATATTACCTATGTGAACTCCCTATCTTTTGTATACCTTCATAACGATAAGTAGGAGGATGGAAAAAATGTATTTGGTCTAACTTAACGCCAATGCACATTATTTCATTTATTTATTTTTTAAATTTTTTAAGTAAACTGTATACCAATTAATTGCTCCTTCAGGATTTATATTTGTTTTTTTTTCACCATTAAAACCGCGTAGAAAGTTTAGGCATTATAGTTGACGCATGCGCAGTACACATATTTTGCATACATTTATTCAACTAATAAAAATAGTAAATTAAACAAAAAACGAATGATTTCGAAAGAGAATAAACGTGTTTTATAATAATATAAGAACAATCGAAAATGAATATTTACGAGTCATTAAGGATGAAAAAATATTAAAAATTGCATTAGAGCTACTAACTTGTAGGTATATTTTTAAATATATTTTTTAAATAAATAAATGCAGAACAAACAATTATTAACAGTGAACAATCATGAACAAATGATGAACAAACGAATTAATAGAAAATAAGTATAAAATAGGAAAAAAAAATGTTTTTGAGGGGCTAACTTCATTCACCTATAGATCGGAGGGAAGAAGCTATCTACTGTTGGTTAAAGAGAGATAGCACTTATCCGTGATTGTGAAACGCAAACTAAGGATAGATACGCTCTTGCTGACATTCGGAAATAGCCATCTATCCGTAATCTCAGATACGTTATTGAAAACGACCGTAACCCGAGGGCGTCGCGTTGGTTGCTTCAAACGAGGATGATCTATCTTCTTCTTCTATCTCTATATATAAAAATGAATTCTGTCGTTAGTCTCGTTAAAACTCGAGAACGGCTGGACTAATTTTGGTCTTAAATTATTCGTGTAAGTCCAGAGAAGGTTTAAAAGGTAGATAAATATGAAAATGCTAACCACTCATCATCAGGTGGGCAGTACGCTCTTCTACCTAAAAAATAATAAACGAGGCCTAAAAAGAGCAGTGCTTCGCAGAATCTACCATCGGATCGGAAACGCGACCCACCGAAAAGATCCAGCGAGAAACTTAATGGGATATGTCTATGGGTTTTATTATCTATCCGTTAGGCTATGACAATTATGTGGTTGTAGACGAAGCTACTTACCCATGTCCACGCATCGAACGCGTGGACAACAGCGGCGGGAGACGCGGCGGACGGGGGGACGCATCAGCTGATCGCGATCGCCGACAGACTCGATCAACAGCGGACGTTTCGACCGCACATAAGAATTTATGTTAATCTCCAAATTTATGAAATATTAATTATTATAAAGCGAATTGTATTATTGGAGTTTTATTAACATTAGTGGCGACCGTGACAGGACGTTAAATGACATACAGGCTGTAGGTCCAGTAGTGCAGTCTGATTTATTCTCAATTTTGTTACGTTTTCGCGGTCACCGATTTGTTCTCTTAGGGGATATAGAGAAAATGTACCGACAAACGGCCTTGCATGAATCTCAACGTCACCTTCAGTTAATTTTGTGGAGGGATTCATCTCTTAGTACGGAACCAAACAAGAACGATAATTTAAAGATTCTACAATTAAATACAGTTACGTATGGGTTGGCCAGCGCTCCGTTTTTGAGCACCAGATGTTTATTACAATTAGCTAAGGAGTGTACTGACGACACTATCGCGAACATAATAAAAAATGATTTTTATATTGACGACCTGAATACAGGTGCGAATAGTCAAAATGAATTACAGCACATTTATGTAAATGTTANTGAAGGAAGAAAACTTACCGCCATTACAATGGCGGATGGGGCGTGTGTGTCGCCTCTACCCAGGGGCCGATGGCGTCAGTAGGGTGGCTGACGTCACCACTTCGAGGGGCACTATGCGAAGGGCCATCAATAAGCTATGTCTTCTGCCCACTTCAGAATCTAAAGATGATCACGAAGCAGAGAGAGCCGTCTCTTCGATCTCGTCTACTTTTTGAAAGCCAAGGCTTTCAACGCGCCGGAGGATGTCCACGCATCGAACGCGTGGACAACAGCGGCGGGAGACGCGGCGGACGGGGGGACGCATCAGCTGATCGCGATCGCCGACAGACTCGATCAACAGCGGACGTTTCGACCGCACATAAGAATTTATGTTAATCTCCAAATTTATGAAATATTAATTATTATAAAGCGAATTGTATTATTGGAGTTTTATTAACACCCATCTTATTAATAGACACGTACTAAAAAACCATCCATGATTTAGATTAAGCTATCTGTCAAAAAATTCTAGAAACAATTTGTATTAATATTTTATTAAACACTTACTTACAAATAGATAAAACAGTATTTACTTAGATAATACGTTTATGTAAGTGGCATTTTATTAGCAACACTGATGGTGATTGCGGGTTATAACCTATCGCAGGCTCACTGAATTTGGACCCATCTTTTTGATTTTCGTTTTTTTTTTAATTATTTATTCGTCGTTTGTTCGTTAATGTCGAATGTAAAAATTGTTTGTTCGTATTTTATTTATTTATAATTTATTAAACAAATGATCACTATATACTAATAGATGTTTTTTCAAATTGTCTCACTACTTACAGGAAAAATCTGTCGCGGATCATCTCCCAATTAAATTAATCTTAAACAATGAATGAAATGTATCCAATTCTTAGCTGTATATTTTATTTTTATTTTTGATGTTAATGCAATGTCGATTGCACCTATAATTGAGGTGACATCTGCCATGAACTTTTGTCAATTTGTCAATGTTTTGTATTGATGATCACTTTGTTGGTGCAACTTATTAAATAAATAAATAAATAAATAAATAAATAAATCACCCTTAAGTAGGCCTCCCTTACTATATATATATCTTTATTTTTATGACTCACTGAATGAATACTGCGCTAATCGCACTTTAACGACTAATTGGCCGTCTTCACTGACATTTTTTTGTTGAAGTATTGTCGAAGTTTGTTGAAGTTTTCAATATTTTTTTGATTTACATAAGAAATAATTAGACAATATAAACGCATTTGTTAACAAAACGCTAGTAAACACGGCCCTTGGCAGCTGACTGACAAAGCCGGCGCATGCGCAATGTAGGCGTAAGGTGATGGTTTGCTTATTAGATATAAAATAATTAATAATTCGGAATTTAATTGCTTTTATGATCGAACGATCACTAATAGTCGTCGAACAAACGATAAGTGATCAAAATTAATTAATCTGAGCGATAAAAATAAAGATATCTAGTAAGGGGGGCCTACTTAAGGGTGATCATTTGTTTAATTAATTTTAAATAAATAAAAGACGAACAAGCAATTTTTACATTTGAACATTAACGAACAAACGATGAATAAATAATTAAAAATAAAAAAAATCCTAAAATCAAAAAAGGGGGGCTAAATTCAGTGAACCCCTTTCACATTTACCATCATTTTGAAAAGTAAAACTATACTCTATATTTTGAATTTACAGAGTACACTTTATTTATTAAAGATTATATACAATCATCCAAATACGTACATGAATATTGCCCAGGAAACATACAGCAAGCAAATGACGACCCCAAAAAATAATCCATGATAACAAAAATTAACTATCCTTAACCAGCTCTGTTTCTTCATTCCATATTTGCTATCCTTGAGGCCGTCTTTAATAATGAACTTTCTCAAGCCTATCAACCAGATCAGCAAAAAACGTGACCGATCAATCGCAGAAATGTCAAAATTGAACAATATTCTGTCAGTTTTTGACATTTGGTTCAACATGGCCACGGTGTTGTCATCGACAAAATTCCACTGGTTCCTCATGAAATAACCGTACAACAAAGACATGTTGTATAACTTTTCATACATTTTAACGAATCTGCAATTATAAAACATTCATTAGACATTTAGTTAACATAAGATGAAACCAACAATATATACCTGATTATTTCATGTCTATGCGTGACTTTGGTATCATTGTTAATTTACTGTTATAAGCTCGGCTATATCCCTTAATATCTTTTACCTACATGTTTTATGACACCTTGAGATGAGAAGCTCACAAATACTTACGACTTAATGCCCTCAGGTCGCTTCATGGAGGTCACATTAAATACGAAGTCGGCTACATACGCAGGTATGTAATGCAGCAGCCATGTTAACAACCAAAATACAACATCACTTCCGGTCTCAAAACTGTAACAGTACCAAACGGCTTTCGGCGTAGCGTACTGTTGTGTGTTAGGATTATTCATGAGATTACTCACACAAGCTATAACAATCAGATTACAGTTTGAATAAGGTTTTCTTATATGGAGGGTAGAGGTAAAGGGCACCATCTTGTATAGGGGAGAAGTTGAAAAAGTGTTCGCCTGTTTAACAAGCTGTTGTTGGAAGACTCATCGAAAAAGCACTAGTTTAGGAAGTAGAAATGGCATGAATGTAGCAGTTTTAGCATTCTCACATGGCAGTCTCGGACCAAGTTTGGGAGCGCGGAAGCTACCACGACTATCCAGTATGAGACCGAGTTACCGCAACCTGGGCCAGCACCAAAGTGTTGTCCGTGTACTACGCTCCAACCTGGAGAGGAGCGTGAAGGGCGCCTCTCGGAGCCAGTCGTAGCCGATGTTCCACAGAAGAGGCTAGAGGACCAGCCCCTGAAGAACGGTCGACCTGTCTTCGAGCGTCTTTGTCCTAATCCAACATCGATTCCTCTAGTCAATCAGTCTCTTCTGATATATATATATATTTAAATGGTTTCTTTTACTATCATACCTGGATTTGAATGGAAGCGCTGAATTATTTTGATACTTACATGTTTCAATTTTACACCCGGAACAGCTTATATTATAAACTTTAATTTCTTTTTCATTATTATTGTAACGTTTATCGGTCTCCGATGCTGTTGCTATTACCGCATTGTTGACGTAGTCCAAGGGCACTAGTGGAATGTTAATATCACTCATTAAAATTACGTGCATCACGCCTAGTAAAATCGTCAAAATTATCTGAAAAACAAAAAAAAAACAGGTACATTATCTGTGCTTGACAGCATGTTAGACAGCTGTTTTAACGGAAATAATCACACTGAGGCCAACATACGAAGAGCCAAGAGTCGAAAGATATGGATCGGCGTTCGTGAACATGAACACGATCAAACTTACATGATACATTTATTTATTCTAGAACTATCGACAAAGCTAATTATATTGTATTGCTTGGAATCCGGCACGAGTACATACTCCGTTACTCCGCTTGAGAATTGGGCAGTAAGGTGCTAGGAATTGGGCAGTAAGGGTGTGCTTAGAAATCTTAAAATAAACACCAACTATGTTTTTTTTTTTTTTTTATTGCCTAGATGTGTGGACGAGCTAACAGCTCACCTGGTGTTAAGTGGTTACTGGAACCCATAGACATCTACAATGTAAATGCGCCACACACCTTGAGATAGAAGTTCTAAGGTCTCAGTATAGTTACAACGGCTGCCCCACCCTTCAAACCGAAACGCATTACTGCTTCACGGCAGAAATAGGCGGGGCGGTGGTACCTACCCGTGCGGACTCACAAGTGGTCCTACCAAGAGTAATTACGCAAATTATAATTTTGCGGGTTTGATTTTTATTACACGATGTTATTCCTTCACCGTGGAAGTCAATCATGAACAATTGTTAAGTACGTATTTCATTAGAAAAATTGGTACCCGCCTGCGGGATTCGAACACCGTTGCATCGATACGAATGCACCGGACGTCTTATCCTTTAGGCCACGACGACTTTCAATGTCGTCTGTACACGTACGACACGTACGACGTTATGTACACTGTGCGAACCGCTATTAACAAGTCCCAACTTTGATTTGCACTTACCCCACTAGGACCGATCACCGAGCTCATATCCACCCATCCAGGAGTGGGTTCATTGAGCGAGCAGATAACTGAAAACGGAAAATAGGATTATTGTAAGGCATTTCGATGATCATTTACAGTGTTCGTATAAACGTAACAAGATATATCGTTAGATGTACGTTAACTTTAAGGTATTTGAGTACCCTCATACCACAATGAGCTTCTAAAAATACCTCTCAGCAATGCTACGAGAGACGGGCAACCAGCTGCACCGTAAGAGTTCGAGAGAGATATTCAGGTATGAGGGTGCGAATGAAAGGGAATATACATAGATTTGATCCCCTCATCTCCTTTTTATCATCCCACCTCCCGCCATCGGAGCAGATCTCATCCATATTGTCTGGAAACGCTGCGTTCATCGACAGTGCGTTTCCAGAGGTATTTTTGATACGTACCATCTGGCTATGGAATGAGTTCCATTCGACGGTCTTTCCGGAGTGCTATGACATGTCCTTCTTTAAAAGAGGCTTGTGGAGAGTATTAAGCGGTAAGCAGCGGCTTGGCTCTGCCCCTGGCATTGCTGAGGTCCATGGTAACCACTCACCATCAGATGAGCCGTATGCTCGTCTGCCTACAAGGGCAATAAAAATAAAACCATTTATTTTGTCGTTTGTGAACACGCGCTCGTTAAACTGATACCTGAAATCTGAGACGCGACATGGCTGCGTAACTCGATGCGAGGACACCTGGCGCCTTCTCTTTATATCAGAGCATTTCCGGGTTCAAGCTTATGCTCATAATGGTTACGTAAACTAGACTAGTTATGTATGTAGACAGAATACTTGCCTACGGGTGGCCTCACTATGGCCACAGGTAAATCCTTGCCCATTGTACGCACGACATCCTCGGCTATGGCCTTCGTGAAGCAGTACGTGTTGGGCCAGTCTCTTATCAAACTGAAAACAGCAATTCATTACACATGACTGATTCCAAGCTACTCCTGCCTGGACGTGCCCTCACGACCCTCGGTCCCAGAGCTCTCATCCACCCAAGTGACGCACTCCACGTATTCACTTCGACTCGTCTACTCACTCAGCAGTGATCGCGTTGAGTCTGCATTCTTCGACTGTCTCCGCGAGCTGTATCATGACTTCCGGAGGGACAGGGCTTTCATAGATTTTCTCTTCCAAATCGTGATTTATTCTACTCTTGGTTGCATTAGAGAACGCAGTTGACACGTGTACGAAGGACCTAGAGATAATTAAATAAACCAGACGTTTAGTGTTGACGGGATGTGTTCTGTTTTTTATGATTACATCTTATAAGGTTATAGTCCTGGTGGTAAATTTAAGATATACCCTTTATGTGGTCCCTTGTGGTAAACAAAATAGTGCAAATAATTCACAGCACAAGATTCGTTATGCGGAAGAAATCACCTTAGATCTTTACAGCATTTGGCCAATTTCATAATCTCCCTGGTTCCTCTGACATTGATGAATGTGGCCTTCTTCAGTGGCTCTTCGAACCTGGTCGTGGCAGCCACATGGAATATCACATTCACCTAAAATTCATTCTTAACGATAACGCCAGTTTTGTAAATCTTGTAAGTCGATTTGAATCTATGAAATATACATGTACACATTTGACGGGATGTAATTAGGATGTACTTGTATAGATAGATAAAACGGTTGTTTATAGCTGGGTTTCTATAAGACAGTATCAGTAAATATCATCAACATCAGGATTTCGACCTTCTTTTTCAGTTTGGGTTGCATATTTTAACCGTGGCGTTACCTTGGTACAAACCGAAACCTATAGCTGCTTCTTCTCATGCTTGTCGCTGATCTTACAAGGTGTGTAATGTCAGTAAGGGAAGTATACCTCTTGCGCAAGCTTCATCCTGTCTTCGTTGTTCAGGCCGACGCCTAGTTCTGAGATGTCGCCTTCCACCGGTATCACTTTCCGAGCGAAATCTGGTTGTTGAGACCGTAAATTGTCGTATACCTTAAACAATAAATAGATTTAGAACAACGAATACAATTTGCGATCAATCTATATGTGTACATCACAGTTAATTTGTTTAATCCCTATCGATCGAAATAAATACAATGACACAATGGGATAAATACCTACTATTGCTTGAGACTAAATTCCGGCCAAACTATATAAAAAACAGGAAATTGAAAAATTGTATTGGCAACACAAAACCGATGATAATTATTTATGCCAATGGACTATGTATCCGGCTAATAAAAAAAAAAAAAAAAAAGATAATTATTTATGCATAACATTTTTTTTTTGTTAAATCGTGCCCACCAAGTTCTTATTAAAACGGAATAAATTAAAAAAGAAATCGAAAAACTAATGGATTTAATTATGTATGTATTCAGATTCATTGTATTATTGTTGTAGGTTTATTTCAGAATATTGAAATTCCACAAGTTTTAATTAAAATTTGCAAGTTTTTATTTATAACTAGCTGACCCGGCAGACTTTGTAGTGCCTCAATCGATAAATAAAAGACCTAAACTTTTGTATAAAATAAACTTAAAACAAACAAAAGGAATCCGTCCGACGGGGGACACATCAAAGGAAAAACAAAATTGTTATTTTTATTTAATTCCGATCGTTTTCATATTTAACCTTTTAAACCTTCTCTGGACTTCCACAAATAATTCAAGACCAAAATTAGCCAAATCTGTTAAGAGTTCTCGAGTTTTAGCGAGACTAACGAACAGCAATTCATTTTTATATATATAGACTAGCTGACCCGGCAAACGCTGTTTTGCCATGTATATTATTTCTAGGAAACATTTTTTTTGTTTAATAAAAATAATTATCTACTATAAGTGTGCGGGGACATATTTATAATCGAAAACGTTATAAAGAATAAAAGTATGTTTTATTTAGGTTAATAAATAAATCTTTATTAAAGTAACGAATATATTTTAAATTATAATCTTTGATAGCTATCTTAACATCAAAAATAATTATTCATATTTTTACGATCAATTATGGTAGTTGAAAAAAAAAAATCTCTCAGCCAGGGCGGGAGATCAAATTGAATTAAAAAAATAAATAATTAAAGGAATTTGAAATTATAAACTCAGAATAAGAATTTATCGTACTACAATTATATTATTTAATTGCCATCTTGCAACATTATTGCGGATCTGTGCACAGAATAAAAAAAAAATCGTGATGGAAAAATAGGGCTTGATCGTATAAGAGTGAAAATTGAGAGTAATATGAACTTCATTACTTTAAGTCATGACAAAATAAAAAAAAAATTGCCAAAAAATTAAAGTTTATAATTAACAAATAAAAAATAGGGGTTGATCATAGAGGGATGAAAAATGAGAGTAACATCAGATTTTTTATTTTAATTCATGACAAAATAAAAATGAAAATCTTGCCAAAAAAATTAAAGTTTATAATTAACAAATACTTTTCAATGTAAAAATTAATCCAAATGTCATGTATATTATTTCTTAAAATAAGAGCACAATTCAATACTTCTTATCACTCATAACATGTACATAATCAAAAAATCATAATCAAGATTCAATTAAAAATTATTTCGTTAATTATTTTGAATATTGGATAATAAATTTAAAAATGTGAATGATTTTGCATGCATATTAATAGTGTAATTTTTTTTTGGTATGAAAAGCAAGAAATAAAAGGATTTTTTTTTTTTTATTTTTATTTTTTTTTTTTTTATTTATTTATTCATAATTAACAAATAAAAAATAGAGATTGATCGTAGAGGGGTGAAAATTTCAGAGTAATATGATTTTTTTTATTCTAAGTCATGATAAAATAAAAACAAAATTCTTGCAAAAATTTAAAGTTTTTAATTTGCAAATAAAAATAAGGCTTGATCGTAGAGGGGTGAAAATTTAGGGTTGTGTGTATTTTTCTATGCTGTATAATAAAAAAATAAAAACAAAAAATTATGTCTAAAAAATAAAATAAAAAATTTGGGGTTGGACCACCCTTAATATTTAGGGGGATGGAAAATAGATGTTATTCGATTCTCAACCCTGGCCGATATGCACGCTAAGATTCGCGAAGATCGGTCGAGCCGTTTCGGAGGAGTTCAATCTCGCACACCGTGACACGAGAATTTCATATATTATATAGATTAACTTCTTTAAGATTTATGTCATAAATCATATAGAGGCTCCATACATATAACAATCAAATAAGTTTAAAAACAAAAAAAACGTACTAACTGGCTCATTTAATTGTGACTTCAGTCTCTCTTGCATCGATTTCCCTTTCTTCGACCTAATCAACAGGTAAATTCGTTTAACGTCGCACGACCTGAAAAATTGAAAGTAAAACAAATAAAAAAAATAATAAAAAAAAAATATCTATCGTGGGTCGATCTAAAATGATCTATCTACCATCCCGCTACAGAATAAATGCCCCTAGTGTATTCCCTCAGCGCTATCACATATCCACCTTCGGGTGAACCACCATCACCGAAGGGTGGGGCAGCCGTTGTAACTATACTGAGACCTTAGAACTTATATCTCAAGGTGGGTGGCCCATTTACGTTGCAGATGTCTATGGGCTCCGGTAACCACTTAACAACTATGCCGGCTGTGAGCTCGTCCACCCATCAAAGCAATTTAAAAAAAAACCTTCAAAGCTTATGAACAGGCTCGTGGCATTTAGCCTTCAGTCACTTGCAGCTTGGACGGAAGAAGAACATTTTTTTTGTTTTTTAGTTTTGTCATATCACTCTTGTCAGAGCGGTCATGGTCGTCATCCAGTATCATTGCTGTGGGCAGATGGTATGCGCCTCACGAGCAATCCCTTACCTTACTTACCTACGGAGCCGAAACGTGGACACTGACTGTGCGACTAGTCCACCAACTAAAAGTTACTCAGCGAGCTATGGAGCGAGCTATGCTTGGTTTGTCATTGCGAGACCGAATACGCAATGAGGTCATTCGGGCAAAAACCAAAGTAATCGATATAGCTCGCAGAGTTAGTAAGCTGAAGTGGCAGTGGGCTGGTCACATATGTCGCAGAACCGATAACCGTTGGGGTAGACGTGTTCTGCAGTGGAGACTGCGAACCGGCAAACGTAGTGTAGGACGCCCTCCTGCTAGATGGAGCGACGACCTGCGCAAGGCAGGCAGTAACTGGATGCGTAGAACCGAAGATCGGATTCAGTGGCGAGCTTTGGGGGAGGCCTATGTCCAGCAGTGGACTGCCGCAGGCTGATGATGATGATGATAATGAGCAATCCCTCCTTCTCCCGGTTTATGGTGAGCCTGGTACAATCATGCAAGCAACCACCAACTGCCAACTTGACTTGGTCGGTCCATCGCATGGACAACCTTCACGTGGTCTGGTGCCTTCTATTTTGCCCTAAGCGACAAGGTGCCCTATGGAGTAACTTCCTCGCCTGGAGACAAGCCCAAAAAATAATAAAATGCGCCCATGCACGAGTGCCGAAAAACGCTATTTAATTAATTACGCAAAATTATAATTTGCGTAATTACTGGTGGTAGGACCTCTTGTGAGTCCGCACGGGTAGGTACCACCACCCTGCCTATTTCTGCCGTGAAGCAGTAATGCGTTTCGGTTTGAAGAGCGCGGCAGCCGTTATAACTATACCTTAGAACTCATATCTCTCGATGGGTGGCGGCATATACGTTGTAGATGTCTATGGGCTCCTGTAACCACTTAAAATCAGGTGGGCCGTGTGCTCCTCCAACCATCTAAGCAATAAAAAATAAATAAATAAAGTCCACGTCTTCGCGGCGTATAAAAATATGGCGAAAACAAGAGCTCGTACAAGCCGGATTTTCGGAAGAACAATTGCGGGGTTTTATTTTTTATATTGGTCAGGTCAATTTCACGAAGCACACTGTATGATATGAATATGAATACAACACGCGCTTGAATATAAGCTAATTGACAAAACTGCTGGCTGAAAACAAACTAATTGACAATAATTTCTGGCTGTTAATAAAACTTCAGGTCAAATGTAAAAGTCATTACATGTGGAGCTGCGTTTAGTACTTGAATACCTTAATACACTACACTTAAAAAGACAACCTAACCCATGAATCAGCCCGCTGAGTTTCTCGCCGGATCTTCTCAGCGGGTCCCGGTTCCGATCCGGTAGTAGATTCATTCGCGAAACAGTTGCTCTTGTGTTGTTAGGTCTCCTTTGGAGACGCTCGGGCAGCTGTTAGCAAATCTCACTCCTCCTGGCTGAGCCATTGCTCGCCCACCTGTCCTGGTGAAACTGGAAAGGCCTTTGGGCAACCAGTAATCACTCATCCATAAAATAAAATAAAAACTTAGAAAGAGTCCTCAGTGGCTTGGCTGTACTCCCAGTATTATTATTATTATTGCTTATTGCTTAGATGGATGGACCAGCTCACAGCCCACCTGGTGTTAAGTGATTACTGGAGCCCATAGACATCTACAACGTAAATGCGCCACCCACCTCGAGATATAAGTTCTAAGGTCTCGGTATAGTTACAACGGCTACCCCACCCTTCGAACCGAAACGTATTACTGCTTCACGGCGCGGCGGAAACAAGCGGGGTAGTGGTACCTACCCGTGCGGACTCCCAAGAGATCCTACCACCAGTGATTACGCAAATTATAATTTTTGCGGGTTTGATTTTTATTACACTATGTTATTCCTTCACCGTGGAAGTCAATCGTGGACATTTGTTGAGTACGTATTTCATATATAATAATATAATAAGTATCTATAATAATATATAAGTAATATTACAAAAAAATTGGTACAGACGTCTTATCCTTTAGGCCACGACGACTTCAAAATTACAAACTATCTCTCCACGGAATATCAACTTTACAAATGAGGCCATCAGCGCAAAAGTGGCCTTTTTTTTTTCGGGTTGGGGGCCGAACCTCTTACGAGGTCCCCGCGCAGAAGGGGCGCGCGGGGTATGTGAGACTCAACGATCTGCATGGTGTTGTGAGCAGACCGCGGGCCCAAGGATTTTAGTGCCCACCCACTAAACGACTCCCCTGAACTCTTACACCCGACATCCGATCCTCTCCGAGGCCAGAACCCGGATGAGGTAGGGGGTTTGCCGCGGTCAACACTACAACCAGACGGCGCGGCTCACCCCAAGGACGCCCAGCCGACGGAGCTTTCGAGGCGAATCGAAGGCTCTGAAACGTCGGCCGTCTCGGTACGGCAGAGCGCAAAAGTGGCCTAACCCACAATTTTTCATAATCATGCCTATTTATTTAAAACTAGCTGACCCGGCAGACTTCGTAGTGCCTCAATCGATAAATAAAAGACTTAAACTTTTGTATAAAATAAACTTAAAACAAACAAAAGGAAGCTGTCCGACGGGGGACACATCAAAGGAAAAACAAAATTGGTATTTTTATTTAATTCTGAGCATTTTCTTATTTATCTACCTTTTAAACCTTCTCTGGACTTCCACAAATAATTCAAGACCAAAATTAGCCAAATCGATGCAGCCGTTCTCAACTTTTAGCGAGACTAACGAACAACAATTCATTTTTATACATAGAGATATAATAAATTTTGATGTAAAAGCGGCCTATCCATAGCTTCACCCAAAGATAACAGATGGTTTTGTAAACATTATTTTTGCGCGTATTGTTTTTTTGCCTACTCAAATTCAAATTCATGAAAACTTAAACCTCATCGCTCTATAATAACTAGTGGTCGGAGTAGGTAGATTGATTTTATATATACTTGCGTCAAGATATTATAATATGGACATGCTATTTTATCCATAACGTGCGGGAAGTACTTTAAACACAGATTCATTGTACGGCACATACCTACCTAATACGTGGACACGCCGTGCGTCGTCATTGTGGTGTCAGGTTATTTTATTATATTCTTAGAGCAGTGCATTTAGAAACACGCAGTCGTTAAGACGTTACCATCTGTGCTTAACCGACATAATAAAGGTGCTCAAACAACATACTTAGTTTACTCTTTGGAACTCAACAAAACTTCCCCTTGGACCCCAACATCTTTTTTGGTCCTTCGAGCCGGATTCTCCCATGTTTTTTGTGTCTCTTACAACAGTGGCGAATCGGTTCGGCTGGCCTCTCACAAGCGAGAATCCCCAGCTGCATTGAGACAAGGGCGCACACACTGGGTAAGAGTGCATAAACATAGTGAGATTTGGATACGACCAATTTATCAAAATTGGATCTTCGTGTCGTGAACTACGACCAGCTGTAGTTGTCATCAACTACGTGCCAAGTTTGGTGAGCTATCACATTATTTCATAACATCAACATGGACAAACTTGAACTTCAATCAACTTGTTTCGAGAATATCAAGACTTTGTGTACAAACTACCGCAAAGATTCTTCGTCTCGAAAAACTGAAGAGTACCTCAACATACGTTTGTCATCTTTGGAAGAACAGTGGAGAGACTTCTAGGCGAGAAATGCCTTATTACTACTGGAACTGGAAGACAAAACTATACATTATTTCTCTGAAGACGTTTACAACAAAACTACATAAGATACATAAAGATACATTTCTTATGTATCTAGCAACAAAAATAATTTTAACATTTTAAAATCGAAGTGGGAGTCCATCGACAAACTGCACTGGGAAGTTGACTTTCAGCTGAAGGGGTCTAACGATCACTATTACCGCATGTACTCAGATATCGAAGAAAAATATGATGAATTGAGAAAACAACTTCAATCTAAAATTTGGTCGAATGCACACTATCAGCAGTCGACACCGAGAATGGAATTACCTGATTTTTACGGAAACTACAGTAAGTGGATCTCTTTTAAGGACCTGTTTCTCGAAACCATCCATAACAACCCAACAATTAACAAAGCGCAAAAAATGAAACACCTGAAAACCAAATTGAAGGGGGAAGCAGAAAGTCTGGTACAGCATTTATCCGTCTGTGCTGAAAACTACAACACCTACTGGGATATTTTAGTGCAGCGGTATGATAATCGCCGCCTATAATTTTAATCGTTTTTCAACACAATGATGAGTCTCCCTGTTATACATCAACCCGACGCTAACAAACTCAAAAAAATTCATGACGTCATTAAGGAATGCATGAACGGCATAGCTAACATCGGGCTGGATACGGCAACGTGGGATCCAATGATCGTGCATTTAATGTTACCAAAATTAGATTCAAAAACTTTAAATGATTATATGAACGAAATCCGAGATCACAGAGAATTACAAAACTTGCAAGATTTTTTATATTTCTTGGAGTGCAAGTTTATGGCATATGAAACTGCAAAATCAACAAAATCTGTAAAAAATACCACTTCCGAAAAAACATCTCCGTGGAAACCGGCTAACAACAAACAACCTGTAAAAAAATTTACATATGACTCTAAGAAAACTTTTAGCTATCACGCTACTTATGGAAAATGCCCGAATTGTAATGGAAATCATGTTTTAATGCAATGTGCTAAATTTATTAACATGGATACTGCATTGAAACTCTGCACAAATTGTCTCTAATTTCAAAATTCCGGAACAAATATCACAATAAATATGAAGTTCCGGTATTTTGGAGGCATATCCATATTATGCTCTACTTTTGACGTCAACGACCTTAAATCAATCTACCTACTTCAACCTCTGATAATAGCTATGGTAAGCTTAGGCCGCTTTTGCGCTGACGGCTTCAAATCTCATTTGAGTTGTAAGTTGTTTATGGCACCACCGATCACCTTAGAAGCTTCTCTGTGAGTTGTTTCCCGATGAAGCCCGTGCCTCCAGTGATCAGCGCTGTGGTTCCCGCGTAGAACTGCCGCACAGCCGACTCGCCGCGGAGCGCTTCCTCCTCCAGCGCCTTCTGACGCGAGACCTGCTCGATCTCCAAAGCCAAAGCGCTGTCCATTCTGAAATTGCTTATTTACGGGCTGCAATTTAACAAAATGACGACGACAGACGGACTACTGACAAATTTCTGGCGAACTAGCAACAAGCACGCAAGTTTAAATACGCGTAATTAGACAACGTATCACTAATAGAATAAGCGGCCAGTTTTAAATAATTATACGACATTTCGTTAATATAGAATAATTTGTATTTTAATTCGCCGTGACCTACGACTCGCGGAAATAAATATAAAAAAATATATACGCAAATCATCTTTTAAAAATAAACTATTTAAATATCAGACAATAGTTTGTTTTAAGGGTTATTAAACCAGTTTTGACATTGAAAAGACCCGTCAGGGCTAAGTGCGTATGGGCTCCAGATCCAACCTTAAGATCTTGTTGGCACACCACGCTATGCAACCCTTTTTTTTTTTCGGGCCGGGGGCCGAACCTCCTACGAGGTCCCCGCGCATAAGGGGCGCGCAGGGTATGTGAGACAACGTTCTGCAGGTGTTGAGAGTAGATCGCGGGCCCAAGGATTTTAAGGCCCACTCACTAAACGACTCCCCTGCACTCTTACACCCGACGTCCGATCCTCTCCGAGGTCAGAACCTGGATGAGGTAGGGGGGTTACCGCGGTCAACACTACAACCAGACAGCGCGGCTCAACCCCAAGGACGCCCAGCCGACGGAGCCTTCGAGGCGAATCGAAGGCTCTGAAACGTCGGCCGTCTCGGTACGGCAGCCCGTCAGGCCGCCCAGACGGTGCCGCTGGTGTCCCGGGATACCCCGCTGGACGGAGCTCTCCTCGGCGCAGCGCGATCTGCCGCTGCACCGGCCTCGAGCCCCGTGCCCGCTCTTGCTCGCGCCATCTATATAATGACGCGAGTACTTTCGCCTCTAGGTCGCAGGGCGGGGATCCGGCCAGGACGCAAGCCGCCTCGTAGGAAATCGTGCGGTACCCGCGGACGACTCTGACGGCCATCACCCTCTGCGGCTTACGCAGAATGGCGACAATGCTGGCCGTCATGTCCATCGCCCACACAGGGGCCCCATACAGGGCCATGGACCGCACGATTCCCACGTACAACCGCCTACAGGCTGCGCTCGGGCCCCCCAAATTGGGAAGCAACGTTGAAAGCGCGCCCGCTGCACCCATCTGCTTGGGCACCAGCCGCCGGAAGTGGGGCCCGAATTCCTATCGGCTGTCGAGCACTAATCCCAGATACTTCATGGTGGACTCGACAGCTATCCGGGTCCCACTTACCACGATGTGTGATCCCGGCGCCGGCACACGTCGGGGGCCATGAAACACCATAGCCTCCGACTTGTTTAGGGCCACCTCCAGGCCCAGGCGCCGGATGCGGTTCACCACCAGTGACACCGCAGCCGTGGCTATCAACGTCGCTTCCCTGTGTGAGCTCCCCCGGGCAGTGACAAGCGTGTCGTCCCCATAACACGTCAAGTCGGCGCCCGACGGGAGCTCGCCTCTCAGCACCCAGTCGTAGCCAATATTCCACAGGAGCGGTCCCAAGACCGATCCCTGTGGAACACCGCACGACATGAGGTGCCGACCGGCACCGTCACTTCCCCGATAAGTGACGCATCTACCCTCCAAATAAGCCCCTACCGTGCGGCGGAGGTAGGGAGGCACGCGATGGTATTTCAGAGCCTCCCGAATACAATTCCAGGGTAGGGTGTTGAAAGCGTTGGAGATGTCTAAAGACACCACCAGTACCACCCCATCCCGGGACACCGTCTCCTCCGCCAGGGCCCTCACGCGCATGATGGCGTCTGTGGTGGAGCGCCCCCGACGAAAACCAAATTGGTTGTCATCCAAGTCCGGCCCCTCCCTGCACAATTGGCTGACGAGGCGATCTGCGATAATGCGCTCAAAAAGTTTGCCCGCCTCATCGAGCAGCACTATGGGCCGATACGCGGACGGCGCGTCCGCAGGGCGCCCCTCCTTCCTGAGCAGGACCAGCTTCCCCTCCTTCCATACACTGGGAAACTGACCCTGTTCGAGACATGCCGCGAAGAGCCCCCTCAGCTGGGGCTCTAGCTCCTTCAGAGCTAGGACGAGAGCTCGACCAGGAACTCCGTCGGGTCCCGGCGCTGTGTTCTCAGACCGGAGTCGCGACACGGCCGCTCTCATCTCTGCTTGCGTCACCTCGGGGACATCGGTGCTCTCCTCTTCTCGAGAGTCTGTGGCTGAGGGTGAAGCCATCGCCGGGGAAACGTATTCCGCTCGCTCAGGGAAGAGGGCCGATACAACCGCCTCTAGCAACTGGTGTTGCATGCTTTGCGCCAGTGGAGGCGCCCAGGCACGCAACTTGCCCCGTACCCAACGGTAGGGGCGCCCCCACGGATCTCGATCTAGGGACCGCAGCAGCTCCTCCCTGGCACGCGACTTACGAGTCGCCGATGGCCAGCCACAGAGTCTCCTTGGACGCGCGGTACGCCTCATACAGCGCGTCTTCCTCGACGGAATCCCGTCGACGTCGTCTCCGGTACCGCGTGTACCGGCGGCGAGCCACAACGCACTCAACGCGCTGCCGCGCGATCTCGTCAGTCCACCAGTAAACCTGGCGTCTTGCGGACTGTTGGCGGACACCCACCACCCCCCGGCACCGTAGCTCAAATAACATCTCGCCACGGATATCCCTACACTGCTGGTTGGGGAGCAACCCACGGTCTTCCCCACCTCGCTCTCTAGTCATGCACTCTGCATCTGCAGAGCGCAGATAAGGAGCCCTCGAGAGCGACTCCTCCGCTCCGGCAGAAATTCGCCGCGGACAACAATCCCCTCTTTCCCACTTCCCCCGAGGAGATTGTTGCCCGCGCCCAGGGTGCACCGGCCCAGCGCCTGCTAGTCCTCAAGAAAAACAAAAAGGACCAGCAGGCACTGAGCACTCGGGGAGGTTTTCTGCCAGGCACCCCAATTCCAAAAATCATGCGCTAACCTATTTCTTTTGAAATAAACAATCAATGCTTTCAATTGATTTGTAATCCAACAAAAAAAAAAGAAACGTTACCTTAAAAAAAACACGTGTGGCACTCGGGGACTGCGGCGATAAAGCTATTGCATAGCATTTTTTATCAACTTATGCAATTGTAATTAGACAATAATAATTTAATATTGAAACAATAATAAAATGACCATGCTATATTAAATTTATAAACATTAACAAAAGCAAAACATTTAACTGTCCCCTTCACACGCATAAGCTAGGCCGCGCGAGAGAGAGATGGGCAGACTTTTCATGATGCGCATGCAGTGCGACGTCACGCCGTGCGCTTATTCACAAACACTACACAAACGCAACGTGTGAATGTGTTGAACGCGAGCTACATTGTAGGCGGAGTGGGGGTGTTAGGTTTTATTTTCGTTATGGAGTTTCTTGATTCGGTCGCCGCGCTCAAAGCCTGCGATAAAAGCTATGAAATAGCTTAATAATATGTATAAATTCTGTTGACCATCGGTTCGGTTAAACATTAAAGTATTCTAAGCACTGTGTTACAAGGGGTGGCGTGCTTTGCACGCTCACCCGCAGTAGGAAGCCGGGTGATGGTAGATCGCGTTCCCCCGACCGCTCTGGGGGAAGGTGCCATCAAAGCGGGCTCTCGGCCCGCTGAACGAGGGAACCGGTGGTCGTGTCGCTGGCGGCCGCCGGTCCGGCGTCCGTGGGACGGCGGGATGGATGTAATGTGCTCTGCGTCAACCCTGTCCCGCCGTTTCAATAGCCCCGACTGGGCTCCGGCCCGGTCCGAGGTAGGGCGCCGGTTGTGACCGGCAGGAGTTTTTAGTGAGGTTCAACTCCCACATACCCCACCTGCCGCGCGGGTAGGGATCCGGCGATTTTCTCCTGTGGAAAAAAAAAGCACTGTGTTATGCAAAACGAATTGTTTTCAAATACGCCTACTGTGGATGACTGGCGAATGGTTTAATAATTAATTTTTTATGCGAAAATGCCACGTAATTCATTAATCGTATCCACATGTTACCATACGAATAGATTTCGGATCGCATAAAATTAAGGAATACATATTAGGGAATCTAATGCGATTTCATTAAAAAAAATTTTTTCCTACCTATGCTGATAGCCTTGAGAGGCTATTTCAGCTTCGCTCTAACGTTTGTAGGTGAGCTCACGGGGCTCAAACCTGACGACGATGCTAACACGAACCCTAGCAAGAGCCGTGCTTCGCAGAATCTACCACCGGATCGGAAACGCGACCCACTGAGAAGATCCGGCGAGAAACTCAGTGGGCTGTGTCGAGCCCTTCGTCGCAAGCGACGGGTTCGACGAGAACGGTGACCGGTGCTTGAAGTACCTAAAAGCACCGTTAGTGGATCGGGAGGATCCGAGATGACGTGTCATTAAGTACTTATGACCATCCTATGACGTCATCTGGGGCTTGGAGCCAACCCGTACGACAGCTACAGATAATAATACACTAATAGACAAAGATTGGCCCCGTTATGGGATATACGTTGTCGTATGCTGTTTCTTTCTGTTGGAAGTTATGGTTAGGTTACAAATTCGTGAATAATGAAAAATACGATCAGTTTACATAATTAATAATAATAATAATAATAATTTATTTATTTCTCTCTTAAAGGTACAAGGTACATACAAATTCAAATGGAAATAAATTAACCTTATAATTTATTTTGTAAGCCTTTGAAAGAGCTGAAGTCTGTACTAGGTTCAAAGACCTGTATTACTGATCTCCAGGCTCCCTCCTTCTTAAGATAGATTAGGTTAGGTTAAGTCGTGAACNATAATAATAATAATAATTTATTTATTTCTCTCTTAAAGGTACAAGGTACATACAAATTCAAATGGAAATAAATTAACCTTATAATTTATTTTGTAAGCCTTTGAAAGAGCTGAAGTCTGTACTAGGTTCAAAGACCTGTATTACTGATCTCCAGGCTCCCTCCTTCTTAAGATAGATTAGGTTAGGTTAAGTCGTGAACAGATGCTGTGGACTAGTGTTGAGAGATCATTAGGTGTTATATTTTAAGAAGGTCATTTTACGTGTGTGTGCGTGTGTGAATTTGTGTGTATTTGGATGTGTGGGTGTGTGTGTGTGAGTGTGTGTATATATGGGCGTGTGCGCGCATGCATGTTGTATTGTGTATGTGTGAGTATCTGCATCTATGCGTGTTTATTATAACTATTACATAGGTATAAATATTTTTTTGCTTAATTGGGCTCGAAAACAAAAAGCAGATTACTTCACAGTCTGGAGTAAGTTCTCTGTTTGCTCGTAGTCTAGGTCGTGAAGCCAATTTGTTAGTGCATGTTTGCATTGGGTCTGTGTCATGGGGTATATATTGATCAGCTTATTGATTTTATTGTATATGAAGCTACTTAGGAAGCTATAGAAGCGTTGAGCTAACGATGTAGAAACAAGTGTTGTGGGATGCACACCATGCCCGCGCCGCTGACTTACGAGCAATGTCGGATCGTATGGAGTTTTCGAGTATGTAGTCATAATAAGATTAAGAATAAATAATTTACGGACAGAAAGGACTTTACAGGTTTTGTAAAGATCATTTGTAGGAAACCTATAAGGGAGCCGCCATCCAACTTTTAAAATACATCTCTGGGCACGTTCAAGTTTTAAAAAGTGTGTTTTGGAAGACCCGCCCCATGCCACTATGCAGTACTGAGTGACTGATTGANTCAAGTTTTAAAAAGTGTGTTTTGGAAGACCCGCCCCATGCCACTATGCAGTACTGAGTGACTGATTGACAGAGCGCTAAATAAACGAGTGTAAGTACGTTCCTGTCGGTAACATGACGCAGATTTTTAAAAATGTAAGTGAGTTTGCGTAATCTGGACGACAGAACGTCAATATGGGAATGAAAGGATAATAGGTCATCGATCTGTATCATCATATATCTATATTATCTGTAATTTAATCAAGTATATATGATATGCACTCTTTATTGAAAAGGATTACGTTTTGAGAAACGTCCTTGCGCCCGATAAAGTTGTCAGTAACTAAAATGACCTTAAGGAAACATTATTCATTTTATAATGAGGCCTGTGCTTCTTTTCCCACGCATGGAATTTGTTTTTGTAGGCATGACCGTAGTGCTCGAGAAATTGTAATAAAAACGTTGAGTTATGACTCCAATCCACTGCAAAGCCACTAGAGCCAAATGTTGAAGTGACAAAATTATAAAACAAGCTAATCTTACAAACTACGATTCAATTTTGTACAGAGAATTTAACAGTTTCGCTGCGATTTTATTACATGTTCGTTTTAATTTAACTAGACGATGACCGAGCTCACAGCTCGGGTTTTTTTTATAAATTGTGTGTTTTAGAAATTATATTTAAATACAAATTACATATTGATAAAATCATGAAATATTCCAAGATCGTTTAGTATAAATAAACAATTCATTTTCTTGGTTTAACCTTAAACCAAACACTCATTGGCTTCGGGTTGCTTAACAACGCCATCTGCTGAAGTAGCTTTAGTGTTATTGTGTCTTTAAAGCAGTTAGTTGCTCTCAATTAAGAAAATAGTATTATTATTCGCCAATAGATGTCGGGAAAAGTCATAAAGTTGATTATCGATAAAGTTGATTATTGAAAACACGAATAAAACAACATTTTCTGAAAATAAATCGTAGCTAGATCGATTTATCGCCCCCGAAATCCCCTGTATACTAAATTTTATAAAAATCGTAGGAGCCGTTTCCGAGGTTCAGATTATAAATACTTAGTCTGGCCATAAATACTGTTACAAAATAAAACAAAAAAAAATCTATGGCAAATAACATTTATTACTTTTACAGTGTGTTAGTTTAATACATAAATATAAAGCAATTTAAAGTATAAAAAGCTTATTCGAAGTGGTCTCCATTGGCTACAATACAGTCCTTTAAACGTTGAGGCCAGCTATCAATAGAAGCACGCACTCTTTCCATGGGAAAAAATTTCACTGCCAATCGTACGGATTGTTTTAGGGACTCCAAATTATCATGGCGTTTAGAGCAAGCCGTACTCTCTAAAACTGACCACAAATCATAATCCAGCGGATTAAGATCGGGACTAGACGACGGCCAGTCTTCAGCTCTAATGAAGTCCGAAACGTTCGTTTCCAACCAAGACTGCGTAGACCGAGCTTTATGACCTGGCGCCGAGTCTTGCTGGAAGAACCATTCTTGCTTATTGAACATGGTGTTGTTAAGGGGCTTCACTGCCTTCTCAAGAATGGTATGTTGATACACTTGTGCCGATGTTTTGATGCCTTTTTCACAAAAGTATGGCCAGGTCACTCCTTCATAGCTAATACCCCACCAAACCATCACTGAAATCGGATTGAGCCCACGTTGCACTAGGTCGACTAATTGGTAAGCTTCCTTAGAGCTTTGAGCATAAATACGGTCATTTTGTTTGTTAAATTTTTGCTCAATTGTAAAAATTTTCTCATCCGTAAACAAAATTTTTCTATGACCTCCCTTTGCGTACCGCTTCAGTAGTTGTTTCGATTTTACCACCGTATTCTCTTTTAAATTATCAGTTAAAAAATGACCAGTACGTCTCTTATAGGCTGCAAATCCTAAGTCATCTTTTAAAATACGCGACATGGTTCTAGGTGCTATCTTCATCTCCCGAGATAAAATCTTTTGCATTCGGACAGGATTTCTTCGAATTCTTTCCCTTACTGCTTTGACCACCTTTTTCGTACGAACACTACGTGGACGGCCAGATCTTTTTCTGTCACAAACAGAGGAGGTCTTATTGCACCTATTAATAGCCCGGTACACAAACATTTTACTAATACCAAGCGTATGGAGAGTTTTAAAAATTGCATTTGGCTCCATACCTACTTTGTGTAATGCAATCACAGCGATTCGGTTCTCTTTATCACCCCACTCCATTTTAATATCGCAAAATATTGTACAATGTACCTACGTGTTTTTGGTTCATTAAACAACTCATTAATAAACTGCAAACGAGCTGAAGAATCACGTATGATATTACAATTAGAGACCGGCCCGTTCCTATTTTGTACCTCAGGGCTAATTTCATATAATAATATTATGCCATATATACTTATATATACAAGAATTGCTCGTTTAAAGGTATAAGATTAAGTTCTCCAGTTGCATCCACAGACACAGCCCGCTGAGTTTCTCGCCGGGTCTTCTCTGTGGGTCGCGATTCCGATCCGATGGTAGATTCAGCGTAGCACCACTCTTGCTAGGACTGTCGTTAGCAAAATTACTGGTGATAGGACCTCTTGTGAGTCCGCACAGGTAGAAAAAAAAAAAAAAAAAAAAAAAAAAAAAAAAGGTACCACCGCCACGCCTATTTCTGCCGTGAAGCACTAATGCGCTTCGGCTTGATGTGTGGGGCAGCCGTTGTTTTTTTTTTATTGCTTAGATGGATGGATGAGCTCACAGCCCATCTGGTGTTAAGTGGTTACTGAAGCCCATAGACATCCACAACGTAAATGCACCACCCACCTTGAGATATAAGTTCTAAGGTCTCAAGTATAGTTACAACGGCTGCCCCGCCCTTCAAACCGAAACGCATTAGCCACTACTTCACGGCAGAAATAGGCAGGGTGGTGGTACCCACCCGCGCGGACTCACAAGAGGTCCTACCATCAGTAATTACGCAAATTATAATTATGCGGGTTTCATTTTTATAACACGATGTTATTCCTTCACCGTGGAAGTCAATCGTAAACATTTGTTGAGTACGTATTTCATTAGAAAAATTGGTACCCGCTTGAGATTCGAACACCGGTGCATCGCTCAACACGAATACATCGGACGTCTTATATTGTTTTATTTCAAATGATTGGTTGACTGTTTACGCGTTGTGGACCCGGACGGGTACGTACCACCACCCTGCCTATTTCTGCCGTGAAGCAGTAATGCGTTTCTGTTTGAAGGGTAGGGCAACCTGTGTACTGTAAAAACTGAGACCTTAGAACTCATGTCTCGAGGTGGGTGGCGGCATTTACGTTGTAGATGTCTACGGGCTCCGCTCCTCTAGCTGACTGGTCGAACGAATTTTGTTCTGAACGCCTTTAACATTTTTGTTTTGTTAAAGAATAGAGGCGGATTCATGTATGGAGTAGGGGTGTGGGCGCAGCGGTGTTAGGGGGCACCGCCCTGGGTCCCTTTAATGAACCTATTACAATTGTACCTATTTTATTTTGACCGCGCGCTTACTGGAGGGCGTTGAGGTAATTTTTGGCACTACACGCCCTAGAGACGCCTTTGTTTTAAATGATACTAAACTCATGACGGCGCGTAAATGGTATGTTCATCTATTTAATTGAGGATGCCAAGCAATTTTGGCGGGTCTCTGGACAGTAATTCGAGAAGCGTGCCAAAGCAAAACGATTCATATAAGAGGTAGCGGAAGGAGACCTTGAAAAAAAAAAACATTTTTAATTGACAATCTTTTAGGAGTTTTCTATCACATCGAATTTACAAAGTACATATTAATGCAACATATAAAACCTACAAACCCAAGTACAAGTGTTAATTCGTAAGTGTCTGAGCGGCGCGGCGGCGTTCGTATTCAAATTACAGACATAAAAATTCTACAGGCGAGATATAACAAAGAAAACACGACTCCAAAGAACAGCGTATAAAAACTAATGTGCGCTATCTTCAGCCATCTCTGTTTCTTCATTCCATACTCGCTGTCTTTGAGTCCGTCTTTCACGATGAACTTTCTCAAGCCGATGCACCAGATCAGCATATAGTGCGGCCAATCGATCTTCGAAATGTCAAAATTGAACAATATCCTGTCAGTTTTTGACATTTGGTTCAACATGGCCACAGTGTTGTCATCGACAAAATTCCACTGGTTCCTCAGGAAATAGCCGTACAACATAGACATTTTGTATATTTTTTCATACATTTTAACGAATCTGTAATAACAAGAGACGTGATACAATAAAAATATGCATGTTTTAAGTGGAATTCACCAGGGCTTTGTTAATACGCCTTAATAAGTACTAGTTATTACACATATTTTATAGATTTTGCGTGGTTTTTTTTTTCATTACACGCTGACACTATTGAGTCGCTTGTCACGTGAATGTCAGGCTCCATAACCACTAGACTGTGCAATTAGAATTTTTTTAGATTGTTAAATGTTGACAAATTGGTAGACCAAATTACGTCCCAACTCCAGCTGACGATTTTTTTTTGTTTTTTTTTCCTACCTATTCGCTGGTAGCCTAAGAGGCTATTACAGTTACGCTCGGACGGGTGGGTGAGCTCACGGGCTCAAGCTAATAGAATTTACTAAGACTGGCTCTAGCAAGAGCAGTGCTTCGCTGAAACTACCACCGGATCGGAATCGTGACCCACTGAGAAGATCCGGCGCGAAGCTCAGTGGGCTGTGTAGAGTTAGTTCACTTGTCAAATCTTCGTCGTAGTCGACGAGTTCGACGAGGACCGTGACCGGTGCTTAAGAGGCCTAAAAACACCGAGAGTGAATCCGTGGGATCCGACCAGACTGGTCTCGAGCGACGGCCGCTTTGTGTTGCCCCATCGCAGTCGGATAAGTAATTAGCGGCGGCCACGATAAGAGGGTTTTCGGTGTCGCGCCGCTTTGTCGATGTAGACTTGACGGATATTTTTCGTGAAGACGAATACTTTTATAATACACTTGTATCTTGAGTCACGAAATAGACTTAGATAATATTAGATCAATAATATTAGATAAACAATTTCCAGCATAGCGCGCGGAGACAACACATTTGAACCTTCTTTTTTTTTTTTTTGGGGTAGAGGGCCGAACCTCCTACTACGAGGTCCTCGCGCAAAAGGGGCGCGCCGGGTATGTGAGACTCAACGATCTGCATAGTGTTGTGAGCAGACCGCGGGCTCAAGGATTTTAGGGTCCACCCACTAAACGACTCCCCTGCACTCTTACACCCGACGTCCGATCCCCTCCGAGGTCAGAACCCGGATGAGGTAGGGGGTTTGCCGCGGTAAACACTACAAGCAGACGGCGCGGCTCACCCCAAGGACGCCCAGCCGACGGAGCCTTCGAGGCGAATCGAAGGCTCTGAAACGTCGGCCGTCTCGGTACGGCAGCCCGTCGGGCCGCCCAGACGGTGCCGCTGGTGTCCCGGAATACCCCGCTGGACCAGAACCAGCCTGCCGGGTCGGGACGCGATACACCGTCGACTGGTCGCTCTATTCACTCNCAACCAGACGGCGCGGCTCACCCCAAGGACGCCCAGCCGACGGAGCCTTCGAGGCGAATCGAAGGCTCTGAAACGTCGGCCGTCTCGGTACGGCAGCCCGTCGGGCCGCCCAGACGGTGCCGCTGGTGTCCCGGAATACCCCGCTGGACCAGAACCAGCCTGCCGGGTCGGGACGCGATACACCGTCGACTGGTCGCTCTATTCACTCCACGGCAGCGCGCTAGAGTGCTGGTAGCGCGCCGCGCGGCCTCACCCCCTCAGGTCGCCCCTTGACCTTCACCGGAGGGAGGCCGCTACCTACAGGGGCCGGGACGTACGGGCGTATTCCCGCCTCCGGCCCCCGGCTCGACGGCGACGGATCGGTGCGGAAAGGGAAGAGCTCTCCCTCTCTCGCTCCGCCGCCTCCTTCTGCGAGATGGTGGACTCGCAGAAGTCGAGCATCGCCTTCCAGGACGCGTCGCTGCCGAGCATCGCAGCCACGACGCGCGGCAGCGAGAGATCCTCTCCTATGACCGCGACGAGGGCGGCGCGTTGCTCATCGAATCCAGAGCAACGCGCCAGTGTGTGTTCCGCTGTGTCATCCTCGTCGCGGTCAGCGCAGTGGTGGCATTGCGCCGTCGGTCCCTTCCGGCTATCTTGTGCAAGTACCGGCCGAAACATCCGTGGCCGGTAAGCATCTGCGTCAGCCGGGAGGTGAGGCATCCGCGGTCGCGGCCCACCCAGTCCGCGAGAACCGGGCGGACCGCCTCGACGGTACGGAGGCCGGCCGACGGGTCCGCCAAGCGGCGAGACCACGCCTCCAGCACGGACCGCCGAGATTGGAGCCTCCGCGCTCGAACTACTCCTTCGCCGGGGTGCCCTTCCCCCCTAGAGCGGAGGTCGCTACGCCACTTGTAATCGGCAGCGAGCGCCTCCGCCTCCAGGTCCCAGGGTGGCGCCCCGGCGAACGCATTTGAACCTAATAAAAATGACACTTTCTTATCCAATATCAAAACTTTTGTTTGTTCTATTCTTTGGTTATTTTACCCCAGCATTTAACTTTTAGTGTTTTATGCCTATACAAGTTAATACATACGACTTTATGCCCTCAGGACGCTTCATGGAGGTCACATTAAACACGAAGTCGGCTACATACGCAGGTATGTAATGCAGCAGCCATGTTAACAACCAGAATACAACATCGCTTCCGGTCTCAAAACCATAACAGTACCAAACGGCTTTCGGCGTAGCGTACTGTTTTGTGTTAGGATTTTTCAGGACATCGCACAAAAGATCTAAAAAAAGATAGCTTTATTGTTTTATTTATTTATTGCTTTGCTGGGTGGACGAGCTCACGGCCCACCTGGTGTGGTTACCGGAGCATAAATGCCGCCACCCACCTGATATGAGTTCTATGGTCTCAGTTTTTTACAGTACAACGCCTGCGCCACCCTTGAGACCAAAAGGCATTACTGCTTCACGGCAGAAATAGGCCGGGTGGTGGTACCTACCCGTGCGGACACCCAATGTAATTTTTATTTTTATTACGGGGAAGTCAATCGTGAACATTTGTTAAGTACGTATTTCATTACAAAAATTGATACCTGCCAGCGGGATTCGAACACCGGTGCATCGGTAGATACGAATGCATCGGACGTTTTATCCTTTAGGCCACGACGACTGCAAAATGTCAGTCAGAGGCGGCTTTAGTTAGAAAGATCCCATACATCTTCCGTCCATGGTACAACTCGGATATCACTTAACGTATTCCTCTATATCTATCTCTTATATATTTTTAAAGAAGGAGGGATCACTGATGGCCCGGTGGCCTTTCCGGTTTCACCAGAACAGGTGGGCAAGCAAAGGCTCAGCCAGGAGAGGTGGAATTTACTAACAGCTGCCTTGGCGCCTTCAAAGGAAACCTAACAACTCAAGAGCAGCTGCTTCGCGAATGAATCTACTACCGGATCGGAACCGGGACCCGCTGAGAAGATCCGGCGAGAAACTCAGCGGGCTGATGCATGGGTTAGGTTGCACGTCGAACTCTTTGCCGAGTTCGACGGTACGGCTACCGGGGTCCCTAGGCCTGCTCCTAGTGTTAGAGCTGAAGGCGTCTAATGCAAGAGTTATTGAATCTGATAGATCCGTAAGGACGTGTCTAGGGCGTCGACGGTAACTGGCTAATGTGTGATCGGCAATAACATTTTTTACAATTTTTGTCGGTTTGTTCAGGCTAATCTTTGGAACGGCTGGACTGAGTTTGACGGGACTTTTACTGGCAGATAGCTTATGTAATAAGGAGTAACTTAAGCTACTTATATTTTAGAAACAATATGAAATTATTAAATGTCATTTTATTGCAAGAGGACAGATCGCAGTCTCGAAATTTCCGATTTAGTCCGTAATTTTCAGGATAGCAAACAAAAGTTCGATTGATGATTTGAGTCACGAAATAAAAAAATATGTGTAAACCTACTTTTCTCAAGTGTGCATCTGGAGTTGCTTATATTGTAAATCTTAGACTCTTTTTCATTATTTTTAAAACGTTTGTCGGTTTCCCACGCTGTCGCCAATACAGTGTTGTTGACGTAGTCCACAGGAGCTATCGCTATCATTATGTCACCCATTAAAACCACATGCGTCACGCCAAGGCCTACGCCTAAAATAATCTGAGAAAAAAAAACGCTGCATTAACTGTGGAGACTTTTTGGCGGGAACGCGATTAGTGAAGTTGCGTGATTTGTCTTATTTTGTCTATTTAGTGTTTCTTTAGGTTTAAATGTGTAATAACGGTGGTTTATTAACTGTATAGTATCTGTGAAAGTGTACAAATGTAGAAAAATCATCATCTCCTTTCATTTCATTTCATTTCATGCCACGTTTCATATCAATCAACTTCATTTCATTTCATAATATCGTATTTCATATTTTTTTTAAAATCATTGAAATTACAATAAGACTTGACCGTTAGGGTAGAAGAATTCCGGAGAGGAGACCGTGGACCCGTAAATAGTGCCATGATGTAGGACGCCTAGTAACAATGTAAAGTAATGATACACGCAGTATAGTTCGCGTGGCGTGCTTTGGAAGACGCTTTTAATGATGATGACGAAATAGTTTCCAAGTTTAGCCACGTCGGAGATAGAGAAGAGATGTCAATCGTCCATCCGCATCAGCCTGTAACAGCTATTTTAGGCAGTCACAACTTACCCCGCTGGGACCAATCACCGAGCTCATATCCACCCATCCAGGTGTGGGTTCATTGAGCGTGCAGACAACTGAAAACGGAAAATATAATGGATTGCTTCGATCGTCACATAAGAGGTCCGGTGTTAAACTATACATGTGGCCAGTTACTACATATTTATATGTCTCGACTTTAACTATTTCTGAAAGAAGACACCTTGAATACTTGCCTATGGGTGGCCTCACTATGGCCACAGGTAAAGCCTTGCCCATTGTACGCACGACATCCTCCGCTATGGCCTTCGTGAAGCAGTACGTGTTGGGCCAGTCCCTTATCAAACTGAAAACACGAATTCATTACACATGACCGATTTCAAACTACTGCTGCCTGGACGTGCCCTCACGACCCTCGGTCCCAGAGCTCTCATCCACCCAAGTGACCACTGCATGTGCTCACTTCGGCTCGTCTACTCACTCAGCAGTGATCGCGTTGAGTCTGCATTCTTCAACTGTCTCCGCGAGTTGTATCATGACTTCCGGAGGGACAGGGCTTTCATAGAATTTCTCCTCGATGGTGTGATTTATTCTGCTCTTTGTTGCATTGAAGAACGCAGTTGACACGTGTACGAAGGATCTAGAAGAAAAATGAAACAGATATTTAGTGTGCCTCGATTTCAAAGACGTCGTGGCTTAAAGAATAAGACGCCCGGTGGAATCCTGCAACCTCGAACCGATTTTATAATACGTAGGTACGGGCAGCCGTTGTAGCTACACTGAGACCTTAGAACTCATATCTCAAGGTAGGTAGCGGCATTTACGTTGTAGATGTCTATGGGCTCCGGTAACCACTTAACCCCAGTTGGGCTTTGAGCTCGTCCACCAATCTATGCAATTAATAGACATTCAAGAATGGCGTCCGCGTTAAAGGAGTAACATAGTGTAGCAAAAATCAAAAGCCACAAAAGTTGAGGTGTAACCACTTAACACCAGATGGATCGTGAGCTTTTCACCCATCAAATCACAAAATTTGGAAATTACATTCGATACAAACTTTTGTTTGAGAACAGAAGCAAAGTAAGCCTTAATTTATGAGGCCAGATTCGTTAATCAGAAAGAAGAAGAAAAAACACCTTAGATTTTTGCAGCATTTGGCCAATTCAAGGATCTCCCTGGTTCCTCTGACGTTAATGAATGTGGCCTTCTTTAGTGGCTCTTCGAACCTGGTCGTGGCGGCCACGTGGAATATCACATTCGCCTATAACGCACAATTAAAATTCATCTTTGTAGTTGATTTAACTTTTTTTTCCTACCTATTCTGGTAACCTCGATGGTCATACTAGATTCACCGGGCGAGTAGGTGACCTCACGGGGCTCGGTGAACGTTGTTAACACTGGCCCTAGCAAGAGCAGTGCTTCGCAGAATCTACCACCGGGTCGGAAACGCGACCCACTGAGAATATCCGGCGAAAAACTTAGTGGGCTGTGTCAGACTGTGTCTATAGGTCAGTTCGCTCGACGAATTCTTCGTCGTGATCGACGAGTTGGACGAAGACGGTGACTGGTGCTTGAGAGTATGTGGGTTTAGTTGCACGTGGAGGAAGTGTGCTTTAAAGGCACCAAGTCTGGATCAGGAGGAGTGTTGCGAGCGCCAAGCTTCAAGGGTAGGTTGACTTTAAGATGTTTAGCAGAAAAATCTGTCTGCCCACTTTCTAATTCGGTTTTTCTGTTACCACTGGAACTCCATCAATAGCCCTGACCAATGTAAAAACCATTACCTTTATTTATTTATTTATGTTGCACCAACAAAATGATCATCAATAAAAACATTGACAAATAGACAATAAGTACATGACAGATGTCATCTCAATTATTACTATAGGTACACCGTGCAATCGACAGTGCAATGAAAATACAATGAATAATTTTAAGAAATTTTAAAAGTGTTCTGAAAATACCGTTTACACCGTAATTAAGCGAAAATTGTAATAAGAACCCGTTAATTAATAGTGTGTGTAATGTAGCTTTGGAAGTTTAGGCCAATTCAAAATACCTCTTGCGCAAGCTTCATCCTGTCTTCATCGTTCAAGCCGACGCCTAGTTCTGAGATGTCACCTTCGACAGGTATCACTTTCCGAGCGAAATCTGGTTGTTGAGACCGTAAATTGTCGTATACCTTAAACAATAAATAAATGCTCAAGAACAGCTTCCAAGATGAAGGAAATGTATAGTGTAGGTAATAAAATATGGCCCTAAATTTATAGAACTAATTCGATAGGAGCTTTGTTGGTTTATTTTATTTATACATCTGGGAAAATGGGCATCCATGCAACGCTTGATTTCCTTTTTTTCCTACCTAAGCTGATAGCCTTGAGAGGCTATTTCAGCGTTACCTTATCTATTAGGTGAGCTCACGGACTCAAACCTGACGACGTTGCTAACACAAACCCTAGCAAGTGTCGTGCTTCGCAGAATCTACCACCGGATCGAAAACGCGTACCACTGAGAAGATCTAGCGAGAAAGTCAGTGGGCTGTGTCTGAGGGTTTATTTACTCGTCGAGCCCTTCGTCGCAAGCGACGGGTTCAACGAAAACGATGGCCGGTTAGTTTGGTACAAAAGCCCATAGTCGTGATGATATGGTATTTACCGCCACCCACCTTGAGACACGAGAAAGAATTCTTAGTGTAGTATTTTAATGTAGTATTTTTTATTGTAGTATTTTATATTACATTTACTGTCTTATCCATCAAACATCGAATTACGCGGGAAAAGAAGTGAACAGATATTGCTACTACGAAGGAATGGAAAGCAAACTGTATCGTTGGAGTCGCTGTCCTAATGCTGGGCAGGGGTAGATAATTGACTTAATGCTGACAAAATTAAGAGAATTAAAAGTATTCCATTTTAATCCAGATTAAATAAGTCGAAGCGCAAAAATCATATACGTATATGTGCCGTGGAACGTGTAAACTGGGCGTATTGTAAAATGGAGGCTGACAACACTATCGGGTTCCTAATGTCAGTTGAGTAAGTTGAGTTTGAATGGGAATTTAAAAGTGACATTAAGCGATTTAACCCATAGATAATACACATAATATAACCTCACTTTAGGACTAATGAATGACAGTCCAGTACTCGGAGCTATAATTACTTGCTCAGTGCTATTACCATAATATTTGGTACGGACGTGATGCCAACGTCGCTCTCTTGCAGTACTATAATAATATAATCTATTTCCATCCGATCGATGCGTGTCGATTTTAATAAGATTCATGAATTGAATGTAATTCGTGAATTTCATGTAATTATTTTTCTTTACACTGACAAAGACACTGAATTTAATCTGACTGAGTGACACTTCGCTTGCTGCTTGTGCTTGCGTTCAAAATGGATGTGTTTTGATTTTTCTTCGATTTATTTTACTTTAAACAATAACGTTTCATACTACGACTGAAAACCATTGTATGAATTGTGGTTTTAACCTGACCGAGATTTAAAACCGTGTATATGCTCTCCTGTGCTATTTTTAGATGATTTACTAATTGTGTATGAAGATGAAGAAAATATAGAAGAAGTATGTGTGTTTTTATATCCTAATAGGAATAGGATAAAAATACATTAGGAACATCTTAAACCTTAAGAAAAGAAAAGATCTTGAAGTATCTCACAATCCGACACTTATTTTAAATAGAAAATTAACCTCAAAACGAATTTTTATTTTTATTATATTTTTTATAATAGTGGCGTCAATTTCAATATATTTTTTAGATGTCCAATACATTTAAGAATTTGAATCAGTCCATTTTTATAGTAATATTTGATGTCCATCTTGGGCCCAGCACACTATGGAGAGTGCATTTGCTCCCTTGCATTATTATAGATTTTAATAATATTTTTTGTTTAATCATTCTAAATATACTTGAAGATTGCAGAGACAAGCTATATATAGACAACGACCTGTTTGGTAATGAGAGCGCACACTACCAGCTAATATATTAAGATAAGTATTGAGATTATAGAATTTTGTCTTAGTTTAATCTTGATTGTGGGTTAATGTGTTACAGCGACATCTAGTTTGGTAACAGTGTGCCATTGACAGCTTTCAAGTGTTCAGTTTTTAAAATACACCATAGATGGCGCTGTAACAAAAATAATGGTTCATTAAAAAAACGTACTAACAGGATCTTTAAATTGTAACTGGAGCCTTTCTTCCATAGACAGTCCCTTTTTCGATCGTATCAATATGTAAATCCGCTTAACATCGCACGATCTGAAACAGGCAACGCGTTGAGCTGGTTTTTGAAGGGGCTGACAGTGGAAGAATTAGATCTGATGAATCTTTGAAGAGATCTTGAGAAACTACAGAGATTTTTGCTATTCGCGCTGGATATCGGGTCGGTCCATAGCCCTTAGAGCGCGAATCGTCGATATCGAATAAGTCGTCGTGGCCTAAAGGATAAGACGTCCGGTGCATTCGTATGTAGCGATCACAGATCATATAAACACAACTTGTTTCTATGATCTGTGGTAGCGATGCACCGGTGTTCGAATCTCAGGCGGGTACCAATTTTCCTAATGAAATACGTACTCAACAAATGTTCACGATTGACTTCCACTGTGAACGAATAACATCGTGTACTAAAAATCAAACCCACAAAATTATAATTTGCATATTTACTGGTGGTAGGTCCTCCTTATGAGTCCGCGCGGGTAGGTACCACCGCCCTGCATATTTCTGCCGTGAAGCAGTGGCGGGTAGCGCATTTAAGTCGTAGATGTCTATGGGCTCCAGTAACCACTTAACATCAGGTGGATTCTGAGCTCGTCCATCCATCTAAGCAATAAATAATAAAAAAATCAAAATCGAATCGATAGATCGAATACAGAAACAAAAAAACTAGAAATCTGTGAACTGAAAGACTTTTGTGTTCGTAAAAACATATCCGATTGTTTCCATTACCTTGCTTCGGCCTTAGAGCACACGAGACGCGTACAAGTACTCAGTGGCACCGAACACTAAATGCTTTAATTAAAGTTCTGGCTTCATCAAGAATCGGAACAGAAACTCGTGCCGAAACGAGAAAGGCACTGAAGTGAACGATGGTTCGCGGGATTTACAATATCCAGGGAACCCGCGACACGTCTGAGACCCGCCATCACGAGACATTGCAGCTATTACATTAGGGCTATAGGCAGTACACTTCCAGAGACCGTTTCTGCCACGTACCATCCCACTCCAGAATCAATGCCCCGTGGTATTCCCTCAACGCTATCATATGCACTTTTTAAAGCTTAGAAAGAGCTCTCAGTGTCTTGCCTGTACTCTCAGTATTTCAAACTATTTGTCAACGGAATATCAACTTTACGAATCTAATTTGAGATGTAAGTTGTTTGTGGCACCACCGATCACCTTAGAAGCTTCTCTATGAGTTGTTTCCCGATGAAGCCCGTGCCTCCAGTGATCAGCGCTGTGGTTCCCGCGTAGAACTGCCGCACAGCCGACTCGCCGCGGAGCGCTTCCTCCTCCAGCGCCTTCTGACGCGAGACCTGCTCGATCTCCAACGCTAAAGCGCTGTCCATTCTGAAAGTAATAGGAATTTATATTTTAAAATGCCAGTTTTGTTCTTTGCCCAAGCTAATCTGCCAGTCCTCATTCGAGGTCATTAGCGGTCCCTTGAGACGACCCAACTCACCTGTCTAGAATACCCCTGACCGCAAGTTTTCTATTGAATATGTAAGAAACACGGACCCTCATGGCTCATATAGGCTAGTAGCTATAGCATATTGAAGGGTAGTTCCCTTTACCCGCGGGATTCGAACGCCAGTGCAACGCTCAACACGAATACACCGGACGGACGTCTTATCCTTTAAGCCACGACGACTTCGAATTTATTTATGATTTACCAAGACATTGTTGTACATTCGTTTAATGCAAAATTGACGTCAAAATAAAAAATAATGCTTAAAAAAATTATTTCCTTTGCACTACATTTTGCCCTACCTACCTAACTGGTAGAGAAAGCCTTAGACTTAACGCTTTGAGGTAGTTAATAGATCAAAAATAAAAATGATTGTTTAAATTATTATAATTTTTCCCATACCTATTCACTGGTAGCATAAGGGACTATTCAGGTACGATCGGACGGGTAGCTGAGGTCTCGGGTTCAACTCGACAGAATTTGCTAACACTAGCCCATAGCAAGAGCAGTGCTTCGCCGAAACCACCACCGGATCGGAATCGCGACCCAATGAGAAGATCCAGCGAAAGACTCCGTGGGCATTATTATATACAAATATATTCAACAAAGGTTAATGTTGATGGCGACCTTTTTAAAACTGCCTACAGTCCCTGCGGTGTACTTAAGTATCATTTACTTAGGTTTTTAATTAAAATCAATTTAATAATTTAATGTCCAATTTCTTCTACTTTGTCTGCACCTTATCCCGCTATGTGGGGTCGGCACAGCGAATGTTTGTCTTCCCTTTCTCCTCTATCAGCCATCATCTCAGCACTCACTCCTCTCTCTCTCATATCGTCATTCACACACTCCATCCATGTCTTCTTCGGTCGACCACTTCTCCCTCTACCTTGCTCTACCATTTCCATACATCTCCTAGTCACATTCATCGAATGTCGAATTTAATGTGTTCAATTTGGTAAAACCCACTTTTTTTTAAACCATTAATGTGATTGGTGTTATGGCGTATTAAAGTTATTTTTGGGTCAGAAGTTGATCGCATACGAGGCCCCCGCGTCTAGGGGGCACGCGGAGACTTTGTTGGGACACTGCTTCGCGTGGGAGTGTGGGACTGCCAAACACTAGCGGCCACCCACGAAACGACTCATCTGCAAACGTCCAATTCCCGCCGGCCAATAAATGAAGTACAATATATTCGATAGGTGAAAGGCTATTTGCTTTAAGCGGCATTTTTACAACATTACAGAGGGAGAGCCATAGAAAATTTAAATTTGGAAAAAATATCATAACAAGCAAAACTTCATCAGCTATTTGAAATTCAATTAACAACATCGGAATGCTGATACCAAATAAAACGTACCTTTAATCGCAAAGATAAATGTCACGTGTTAAGCGAATTGTCGTTAAAATTAAATAGCCTTTCACCCCACGATATTACTATGTGCGAAGCGAAAGCGCTAGTGGATCTAGTGGATGGGAGTGGCAACTACTCGTGAAACATCGGCTCACTTCGGGCTGTGTGCTTCGGCAGAGTCGAGGTGTCATCGCTCGGGTCGAATCGAAACCATAGACCTACATAGTAGGGACACGACATATTGTTCTATACGTACAATTGCTTATATAAATAGCACCCACTTTGAAGGCACACACATAAACATATATCTATCTCGTTCTTACTCAGCACTTTAACTCGCAGGAAAACAGTATAACAGTATTTCAGTGCGTACATAAAATGAAACATATACGTAAATGTCTAATGAGGCCGAAAATCCGCCATGTTTAGCGCACCAAATGTCATTGTCACGTCAGTTCGGCCGTCTGTTTTGGGTTGTACATTATTTATTGACTTTGATATCGATTTAATATGATTGCTAATATAAAATTTCTTATTTTATCATGCTTAAAACATACAAAAATAATAATTAAAACATAATAATATTTTATAGGATCTTAAGAAAGTCAATGCCCCAAAACTATTATCTATATATATTTAAATTTATTATGGAGCCCTCATCCGAAAAATCGGACACCATTTAACATTCGGAATCTATTGATCATGACACTAATCATAAATACCTCTTTAAAATATGTCATAAAAACATATTTAGACATTCTGTTTAGATATTTCGGGAAAAAGGCTACCGACAAAATCTCTTCGGAACTATTTAAATAAAAAAGTTTTATTCCGCAGTGTGTAAAACACTATTGTAAATTCGTTAAATATTTAATAATTAAGTTATTTTAGAGAGGAAGTCACGTTAAATGATGTTTGTAATTAATAATAATAATAAATAAATGTTCTGTAGGTGTTTTTTTATCACGCGGTCCCTTGATAAGTTTAAAATTTGAATCACTCTCAAGTGAGGGTGATTGAATTGAGAGTGAATTCTTGTTTAAATATAATCAGAATCTCGGAAACGGCTCCAACGATTTTCATAAAATTTAGTATTCGGGGGCGATAAATCAATCTAGCTACGATTTATTTTCAGAAAATGTTGTTTTATTCGTGTTTTCAATAATCAACTCTTCCCGACATCTATTGGCGAATAATAATACTATTTTTCTTAATTGAGGGCAACTAACCGCTTTAAAGACAAAGCAAGACGGCGTTATTAAAAAAGAAAAAACGAGCATCATCTAGTTATTAATTAAACTAGCTTTTGCCCGCGACTTCGTCCGCTTGGAATAGTTACTTTGGCATAACACTAAATTTTACCCCCACTTCATTTGCGTAGAAAGTGAAAATATTTTTGAATAATACTCGTAGAATGTTAAGGAGCTATTTAAGGAACCTGAATCACGCTTTTTAACCGACTTCAAAAGAGGAAGTTATCAATTAGACCATATTTTTTTATCTATGTATGTCACCGATTCCCCGAGAATGCTTGAACCGATCCTGACAATTCTTTTTTCTTTTTTTTTTGTTCGAAAGGGTACACACTTCCTGAATGGTCCTGTAATCATCAAGCTCTGATGATGTGATCCTGGAGAAATCCAGAAAAATCTATAATTGTCAAAGCCTATATTGAAACGCTGATGGGTGTTTCAATATTGTAATGATTAACGTATTTATTTGGATAGGGATTAATATATAAAAACACCTTCACAAATAATGCTTTATTTTAGAACAAATTTGGTTAGCATAAAAAACGTGCCGTGCTGGAGTCATGGTCCAGACGTCTGGCTGATCCTTCAGCTGGTCGTAGGACCGTCGAGGCGATTCACCCGGTCCTTGTGGATTGGGTGAATCGTGAGGACGCCTCACTTTCCGGTTCACGCAGGTGCTCGCTGGGCATGGTTGTTTCGGTGACCTCCTGCACCGGATCACAGCCGAGCCGACGACAGAGTGCCACCATTGTGGTTGCGACTTGGACACGGCAGAGCATACGCTCGTCGCCTGCCCCGCATGGGAGGGGTGGCGCCGTGTCCTCGTCGCAAAATAGGAACCGGCTTGTCTGTGCCGAGTGTTGTGGCATCGATGCTCGGTGACGACGAGTCGTAGAAGGCGATGCTCGACTTCTGCGAGTGCACCATCTCGCAGAAGGAGGCGCCGGGGTGCGTGAGAAACGCACAATCCCGCCGCCGTCGAGCGGGGGCTAGGGAGGCGGATCTCGCCCAAGCCCTGGCCCTCTTAAGTGTTTCGGGTCCCCCTCACATGACGGTCTGGGGACCGGCGAGGGGACCTAAGAAGACGACGTGCAAGCTGCTCTGCACACTTTTATGCAAGAGCATCCGGGTGATGGAAGGCCGGCTATCCTCGACCCACGCTGGTTCTGGCCCAGCGGGGTATTTCGTAGGGTAACCCACTCTAACCGGCGCCATCTAGGCGGGCTTCGGACAGTCTGCCGACCGAGAGGGCTGGTGGTCGAGGCGCCGACGAACGCCAGACCGGCGTCCCGAGGGGGAGGGTGATGGGAGAGATGTGCTCCGCACTAAACGCTTCACTTTCCTCCCTTTGACTTTTCATGAGTTCTGTCTCATGCGAGGTTTGGACGTTGGTTGGTGAGCGACAGGCGGTTTTAGTCAGTTCGACTCTGACATAAAAAACGCTATAGTGAGCCAACCTTTAAATATAGACATATGCTGTCGGGGACTTTTTTTAGATCTTTTAAAGGGGAACAATTCTGTCATACATTATTTTAGCGAAACTTTAACCGCTTCTGCAGCGCACGCAGCGGAAGCTCTCAAAAGGAAAAATAAACCCCGATTTTGAAACATTCTTTATTGGTGCTCCGCTTGTATTGGTCTTAGCGTGATGTTATATAGCCTATAGCCTTCCTTAATAAATGAGCTATCTAACACTGAAGAAGAATTTTTTAAATCGGCCCATTAGTTCCTGAGATTAGCGCGTTCAAACAAACAAACAAACAAATAAACAAACTCTTCAGCTTTATAATATTAAGTATAGATAAAACAGAGAAACAAATAACATAATTCAATTTAGTTTATTTTGGCTCTACGGGGACGATATACGCCATATTTAAATTATGTGACCGGACGAACCTTTGACATCCGTGACCGCGAAGTCTGTTAATTATTCGAAAAAATTGTATATTTTAATTAATTAACGATAATAAAACGTAATAAACAATACACACATTAAAACATAATAAAAACATAACAATGTTTAAAACATACTAAAAAAATCTATGCAAAAACCAGCCTATCCCTATTTCCACCTATAGACAACAGATGGCTATTGTAAACATTATTTTTGCGCGTATTGTTTTTGCCTACGAAGCAGTGTAAAAGTAAGTTCAAGCCTCATTATGTCCATACTATGGTAAGCTTAAGTCACTTTTGCGCTTACGGCCTAAATTGGGATCACGGCGTATAAAATAAAACTATTCTATTGCATTGCACTTTTGTTGTTCTCTTCCA